CTAATCCAATCTTAATTAATTGTATTCCTTGTTCATCGGATCAGTCTTTAAGCCTTCCTTTTTATGATGTTTCTACTTACTATGAGCGCGGTAGAAAACTATCTGCTGGCAAAGATGATTCAATGTTATTAGATCTAGTTAATAAAATATTTATTCCTAACTCATCTTTTGTTTTTCCTATTTCTGGTGAAAAAAAGAAACAATCATTTTTACATAAATGGCTACTTGAATATTCCTGGTTAGCTTACTCACAGATTGAAGATGGAGCATACTGCCTTCCATGTACACTGTTGGGAAGCAGAATTCCAAACAATACCTCAATAATCAACTTCATTCGAAAACCTTTTAAAACATGAGGTAATGCAATTGGTGCTTACATGGAGCACAATAATAATTGTCGACTTCATCAAATGTCAATGCATTGTCTTAACATGCTGCAATCTAGATCTAATTCAAAAAAAAATCTGATTGAAGTTGACATCGATAATCAGAGAAAAAAACTAAAAAAAAAAAGGTAAGAGTTATAATATTGATACTTCTTCAAAAGCTTCATGTTTTTTAAATCTTATGACTAATTTTTCTTTTATTGTAAGTTTAGTTTTAACCAAACAAATAATGGACTATTCCTATGCTATCACTGTTGTTCTCCAAACTAAAGCGTTTGATATATCACAACAGTGTAATGAAATAAATTGTTTAAAAACTCAAATTTTAGATTTAAAAAAAAAAATTGATTTTTTTTATAACTAATGGTACTTAATTGCTCTTGATCTAGCTAAGACTCTTGATGTTTCAGAAGTTAAACCAAGGCTCTGTGGCAGACAAGTTTATAGAAATAATTATCCCTCTGACACAGTTTTAGATTATTTCAAATGTTCCATCACATCTCCTATTCTAGATCATTTAGTTAATGAATTAGAAGATAGATTTGATATAGGTGATATGGTTGTTTACAAAGGTTTATCTGGTATTCCTGCAACTGTTGTAAAAAAAAATAAAGAAAAATGTTTTTGGAAGTTAGATTTTGTGGAATTTTTGCATTTTTATATATCGGATATGCCTCATCCTACATCAATTCATGCTGAATTAGATTTGTGGGAAACTATTTGAAACAATCAATCTGTGATCCCATCCACTATTACAGAAACTTTAAAATCTATTGATATGAGGGGTTTCCCAAACATTAGGGAAGGTTTTTTAATAATGGGAACAATTCCAATTACTACATGTGAATGCGAGAGGAGCATTTTTGTTATACGCAGACTTTTATGCGAAGCCGCATGACAGAGTCAAGATTTAATTCTTTAGCTCTGATGTCATCAAGAAATAATTCCTGATGTAGAAAGAATTTTGAATATTTTTTCTGTTTTAGGGGAACGACGCTTAGAGTTGGTTTTTACCTAATATTAATTTATTAATTTCTTTTTTATTTATTGACTATATTCTTGTATTTTAGTTTGTTTTATATTTAAGTTTATTTCATATTTCATGAAAATTAGAAAAAACAAAATTAAAAATTAAAAAAAAAAAAACTTTAAAAAAAAAATTGGCCAAACTGCCTATCAAGAAAAGGAAAGAATCCAGAAATGGAGGGCTAACCGAAGGCAACAATATTAATACTTTACATAAACTGCCTTTCAAGAAAAGGAAAGAAACCAGAAAGGAATGGCTAACCTAAGTTAATAATATTAATAATTTACATTAACTGCCTATCAAGAAGAGGTAAGAATCCAGAAATGGAGGACTAACCTTAGGCAACAATACAATTACTTTACACAAACTGCCTATCAAGAAAAGGAAAGAATCCAGAAATGGAGGGCTAACCTAAGGCAACAATACAATTACTTTACACTAACTGCCTATCAAGAAAAGGAAAGAATCCAGAAATTGAGGGCTAACCTTAGGCCACATGACAGTTTACAGATGGAGTGCAAAGTCCTATGGCTTACCTTCTCGTTGGTGCACTTCGTTAAATAGGTTAGACAAGTAAAAAATGTCTAATTTATGCACAGAATAGCCAAGTCAATATTGTTGTTAGTTTTGTTTTATATGGGTAATTAAGAACAATGCCCGGTAAGTAATAATAAAGTACTGATGCCGCTTTTAACTCTTCCCCCCCTCCCCCTCGCTAGCCCGGGGAAGGGGCTTACAAAAAAAATGTTGCAAACTATTTTAGCAACTTGAAAAAAAACAGGCAACACCCACAAAAAATCCTGCATCCGCCCTTGTAAAGCCTAATTTTAAATCATCATTGACTCCTGAGGATTCTATTGCATTGATGATCTTAACAGATTTGACTAGAAATGCTTATCAAAAGCTTAGAAACAATGCCAAGAAGAATAATGCTGTACTTTATCCAAGCTATCGCAAAGTACTACAAGCTAAACAACTATGCTATCCTAAGAATATAACACTTACGGAGTCAAAATGCGAGGTACCATTGCAAGATCTGCTGAATCATACAAGTTGTAGATTACTGCAGTTAAATCAAGTGCAATCTAAAGTTAAAAACTTGGTTGAAATAATTGGTAAAACATTAATTCTAAGCTGGGAAATGGGGCTTTGACGATGCATCTGGAGAAAGTATGTACAAACAGCAATTTTATTTGGACGATAGCAGCTCTGATAAGCACATATTTGCAACAACATTTGTTCCACTCGATCTTTCTTTTGAGAATACATTAATGTCTTCTGGCCAACCGTCTAGTTCAATTTGGAGAAATCAAAAACCTTCGTCTTCTCGTTTTTGTATGCCAATTAAACTGCAGTTCAAAAAAGAAGACTCTAATTTATTACGAGAAGAAAAAGAGTATATACAAAATCAAGTAGCATCATTAGAAGACACAATAGTAAGCTTACCAATTGAGCAAAACAAACTAATTCAGCTTAGAATTAAGTATAATCTGGTGCTTACCATGATAGACGACAAAGCTGCTAATGCCATATCCGGTCAAAAATTTTCAGCGTCGTGCAACATTTGTTTGGCAACACCAAAACAAATGAACTCAATACTTTGCGAAAAAGAAAAAACTGTTAATAAAGACAGTCTTCAGCTACGTCTATTAAGTTTGCATGCCTGGATTCATTGTTTTTAATGCATACTTCATATTGCATATCGCCTTGATTTCAAGACTTGGCTAATTCGAGATCAAGACCACAAAATATTGGCTTCAGATCAAAAACATCGCATTCAAATTTAATTTCAAAAACGCTTGGGTCTTCTTGTTGACATACCAAAAGAAGGTGGTGATGGTACAACTTATGATGGTAATACCTCGCGAAAAGCATTTCAAAATTACCAAATATTTAGCGAGATTACCGGGGTTGATGTCGAATTGATTCGCCGCTTCTACACTATATTGAGTGTCATAAACTCCAATGTAAAGATCAATTTTTCTACATTTGAAGCCTACTGCAAAGCAACCTTTGAAAGGTATGTTGCTTCTTATAATTGGTTTTTTATGCCAGTTTCAGTGAATAAACTGCTAGTCCACAGCGTTCAAGTTATGTCAAGTATTCATCTGCCAGGATTGCTTGGATTTTGTGGAGTTTTATCTGAAGATCCAGCTGAAAAAAAAATGAAAGAGTTTAAGAAATATAGAAATAAATATTCCAGAAAAATGAGCCGAGTATTGACAAACCGAGATATGCTAAATAAATGTTTGGAAATAAGTGATCCCATTGTTTCAACAATTATTGAAAATAGTAACAAGGTAATGACAAATAAACAAAAACTTACTAGCGAAATGCTTTCACTAGTAGAATTACCAGAAATTAGTAAAGTTGGAAAACAAAATGATCTAATAAGTGTTTGCGAATATGAAGACGAGAAAATACCAAACCAAATAAATAAACTAGTTGAAGATAGTGATACAGACGAAGATAAGGAAAAAGAAGCATACAAAGAAGAAGATGAAAGCGCTGTTTTTAGCGAATCGTTTCAAGACTTTAAAAATAGTGACGTTGATTTGCCTGATTACTATTATTATTAATAATAAACCCAAGCAGCAAACAATATTGGCGCGATATTGTCTACAATATTGGCGCAATATTGTAAACTATATCGCGCCAATATTGTAATGTCAACATTTTGCCAATATTGGCCAATATTGGCGGTACAATATTGCGCCAATATTGTTAAGTCAATATTGGCCAATATTGGCAAAATGTTGACATTACAATATTGGCGCGATATCGTTAACAATATTGGCACAATATTGTAAATATAATACTGGCCAATATTGGCGTAATATAGTTATAGTGTTTTTAGCGTTAAACAATAAAATGTTATTTTTTTAAATTTGTTTATTTATTTGCCAGAATATGTACAAGATAAATTTACATTGAATATATTACTGGCAAGGTTTCTAGAAGATCACAGTTCCATCTAATATGTAAAATAAATACAAAAAAAATTGGGAATTTAAATGGGTTAAAAATACAACACAATGTTCTATCTAATATGTAAAATACAAAAAAAAAATTATATATAAATAAATACAATGTTCTATGTAATATAATATAATATATTATATCAGGTAGAACATTTTATGTTTTTATATTTATATATACTTTTTGAATTTATTTTATATATTAGATAGAACATTTTATTTATTACGTTTTAAGATAGAACAAGATAATACAGAGGGGATGAATTGTTTAACCCGAAAGAATATTGCAGCCTTTAGTATAGACTATAGTCTATACTATATTTTTGTATATAGTTTAGACTATAATTGTATATAACTTGAGTTATAGTTCAGAAGGTGATAATAATCTAGGAACGCTTTGAAAAAATAAGACTTTTTAAAATCTAATAATAAATTTATTAAAAGTTATATTAAACTGATACAAATGAATATATATATATATATATATATATATATATATATATATATATATATATATATATATATATATATATATATATATATATATATATATATATATATATATATAAATATATTACAGCATTACACTCTCACTATCCCTCAATAGTG